ATTATTGAACAATAATGATTAAAGCAATAATAATCACGAATATATACAGCTGTTTGCAATAATTCTGACCCCCCTACACCAATATTCATATATATCAAAGTAGCCTTAGAAATTATGGGATACCAATGCTGATATTTTTTTTAGAAAGTACTCATTCTGGACAGCTCAAAAAATATATCAGTCATGATATCCCATAATATTTAAGGTCAGTTTGATATATATGAAATATGGCAGAGGGGGTCAGAATTATTGCAAACAGCTGTAGTCATTTAAAAAAACTCTATCCGCTAACATAACTTACAATACCATCACATGATATACCATCACGTAGCTATACATTCAATGGCTGAAAGTCCAGACACAATTCTATTCTACTAAAAAATATATCATCCAGCGAAAACATTGAAATCATTTATCAAAGACAAGAAAACAAGTCAAATTATTATTTTAACTGTTTTGTTTGTCCAAAATATTTGTTCCTTTCCCGTTTGTATTATTTTGGTTCAATTTTTGGGGAAACCCATTAAAGCGTTGACTTGCTCGCAAAACTATACGGTTGCTCACCTGAAGTGTACTCGCAAAATCTGGCAGCTGATCGCATCTTTGGGTTTTTGTTAAAACGTATATTTTTTTAGTACTAACTACTCGCAAAAGAACACTTTTCGCACTTTTTTGCTCACTATACGAGTTTGCGTCTTATCAGTTTTTTTTTTTATTTATTTTTTTTTTCGCTGTTTGTTAAAGCGTTTTTCACTTTTATTATTTGTCCTCAGGAAACTCAGCCTCGAATTCTCGGGAAGGATAAAAACCGCAAGGGGGTTCTGTCTTTATAATTGCACCATTGGGGAATAAAACAGAAACCACACCTCAATTCAACTGTCGTAGGTTCAGCAGAGCACAGAGTCGTTTCTGATTGGGTAGCCCGAAAGGCTTCCACCAAGTATCTGACATGATCTGAATAGTGCATATTAAGAATTAAAATATACATATATCACACGCTTTATTTGTTTACTTAAGAGGCGTTGTGTTTTAGAGTTTTATTCGGCACTTCAAAACATGTATATTGATTAAAAATAATTATACTTGCGGATAAAAACCCTAAGACATTAACAAATGATCTTCCTACACCACACCAATGAATGGACTCCTCACATCCTTCACTTGGTACAAAATTAACCACTTGTGTCAATCTCCCGCTGATCGTCTCCACCCCCACGGGTTATTGTTAATCACTTTCGATCATCCCTTCCTCCGCCTCTTGAGTTCCGCCATACTATTGCTGTCTGTCAGAGAATATGGTTAACCTCTTAGCAAATGCATAACACCACCTGTCGAGATATGACATATGCAAATAAAAGAGCTAAAGTCATGAATACATTTAACACATTAATTGGTGTCGTCGATCTGTTTTACAGGGTCGATATATTTTTGTTTATTGCCAATGATAAAATATGATAATCAATAAAAATAATAATCTGAATAATAACAAAGTAATAACAATATGTTCATATTCATTCAGGAATAAATAAACAATATGTACGATATCAACAATGATGATAAGCAATAATAGCAACTATGATAACAATAATAACATGATATATACATATAATAAGAATAATAAGAAAAGCAATGATGATAACAGTGATGATAACCACAATTATGATAATAATCAATAATAATTATTGAACAATAATGATTAAAGCAATAATAATCACGAATATATATACATATATATATATATATATGAAAAATTTCATCAAAAAACTAAAAAAGTGCTCAACAACAATATAAAAGTCGGAGCTGTATTAAATAAAATAGAAAATTACAGAACAAACTACTGTATTTCCATGATGTAATTTTCACTACAATATTGTTTCGTATGGTCCAGAGGACCACACTATATATATATAAAATAGTCATTTAAAAAAACTCTATCCGTTAACATATCGAGTTTATCATGGCTAATTTAATGTGATTTTACCTGGTTTTTCGCAAAACTAGATGTAAATCAACCAAACTCTTTGATTGAAAATGGTTTAGACGTGTTCTTTTTTATTCGCCCATGGCCAGAAAATCCGGACATATGAGCCCGCAATCGCAGCGGTACTTCGCATAAAACACAAAAACATGTTTGTTAAATTTTACAAAGAAATGTACGGATCAAATAAACTATTTGAGAATAACATTTGATCTGTTTTACTTGGAAAGTTTTCCAAGATGAATTCCTAGAGGGAAACTATTCTTGATTCCACTACTGTAGGAAATCCAAATAAATCTACAATATTGTTAAGAGCGTCCTTTTTGACAAATTTATTTTCCTTTCGTAGTCTCCTTTGCCCTTGTATCTCATGGTGAAAATCCGCGAAGAAGCGAAATTTCACCGTAGCTGATCGTGTTTCTTTACATGTCACTGATATTTCAAAGATCATTTCTCAAAGTCCACATATTGAGGTAGATTTTCAGCTATTTTGAAGACGATAAACAGCGTCCTTTTTGGTACTAGAAATAGAACAATTTGAAAACACTAACTTGACGGTTAAATGGCTGGCAAAGACTTGTGTTTCACGCGAATAATTGGCCTCGATCTTACATTTTCTTCCATTTTATTCGCCATGTTTGGTACCAAAATAAACCTTAGAAACTTGGCTTTCAGACTGGGACTGCTTTAATTTTGAGGGTTTTTACTGGCGCCTTGCGCGCACTGGTAAATAGCGGGAAATACGAACGAAGGTAGAACAATCAAGTCTACGCTATTTAGTGTAAACAATGTCAGCCCTTTTAAATTCCTTAGAAATATACAAGTATAAACAAAAGATCACAATATCAACTGATTATCATTGTTTAAAATACCTGAGGCAAACGCGTGTTCCAGTAAATAATATTATTTATAACGCAGTCTGCAGCCGTTTCATCACTTTAGAATAGAGGTTGAAAAGTTACTGACTTCCCCCCTCACAAATAAAAGATGTACGAATTCCCCTCCCCCTCCTACCATAACACAAAAACTAAAATACACCCTATGCATTCAAAGATAGAAGATAGTCTTCCTATATTAACTATGGTCTAACTTAGGACGACCAAAGCCGAGAGCAATGGCCACACCTTCGAGAACTCCATGCTATACTCTTAGTAGAATAGTCCTGTGGGCTCTCTCATTGCTAATGTGATGTGTAGAGAGATCGGTTTACTTCCGCCGTTAAGTCTTTGAATTTACTCCAGAACCCAACGTCACCGTACCTATCTGCTACTGTGTGTGATTTTTAACAAGTATTGCACAAAACCACTTAAAATATYAAGCAATTTTTGGTCAATTTTAAACGACTTCGTTCAGTAACTATGACAGACTTTATGACGATTTAACATATTTTAGCAAACTTACTTAAATATCATTCAAAATTTAAATCGACTTATTGGGAGTTGGAGTGATTTGGGGAGATTTTCTTCGACTTTGAGTTCCAGAGTAGCTCACGAAATTTAATACAAACTAGCAATTCATCTTACTAGTTACTTGTAGTTTCAATTAAAAGGTAGATTACACTACATTTCATTGATTAATACACCCCATTTATTGATTAATACACCCCATTTTATTATTTAACTTGGACGTTGCCCTCACATTCAAGTCATAAGTTTTGACTATGCCCACCTTGTCTTCTCAATGCCATCCTGATAATTATTGCGCAGTCCGTAATTAGTATCAATGTTTTCATTTGATTCCCGAACCTAAAATTTCCTTCGCTATCTTTACAGAGCATACTTTAGCGGATATTTCAGAACTAGGTGTTCATACTGTTTAAACTTATGGCCAGAAATTCCGGACATTTGAGTCCGGGACGAGTCAGCGGGTTTTCCCACCAAAATAGAGCTTTCTACAAGTTCCCTTGACAAGGTTTGAACTTTTGAAGATCAAATTTTCTACTCGTGTGCAACGATTCTTTATCTTAACACAATACTGGATTAAAATTGAAACGTTCAAAACATCGACAAACGAGTATTGGGATAGCACGCCCTGATCCTTGAGTTTAATTCATTAGTGGCTTGTGAGGTGCTCGTTTGGAATGTTCATAGGCGGTGTAAGGTCCGCTAAGACATTTTACAACGAAGTAGGAAGCTTATATTGATCAGCACTTTTATCTAATTAGTGTTTAGGACGTAAAGAACTACATACGAAAAGAGGTACTGAGCGATGTGGGATGCGCACGCAAATCATTGCGCATGCTCTTATTACGCATGCTCTTAAGCTATGGAAATACTGTCGTAAGTCAATTACGACAGTAATTATTATTATGAGTTTTTTTATACACTTATACATGTTATGGTAGTTTTAAACGTTAATTTCAGAGCAGGGGCGTGTGCAGTGGCCCTTTCATGAGGGAGTTCCAGCTTTGTTTTATGGTTTCTGTGAGAAAGGTGATTCACTGCAAAATTGCACGAATATTGTCGTAGATCCACACCGAACTAACTGAGGTCTATCCTAAAATTTATTACCCTATTATTGACTGTGGCAAATAAAGTTTTTAAAGACTTCGTCTTCCAAGGAATGGAGGCTTCCGGAACCAACCTATGCACATGCCCTAGGAAATGACGTAGACTGCCCAGAGTACAACCCAAAAATACTCATAGTCTTGCTGCTATCCACTACAGTATTTGACTGTATAATTACAAAGGTTAATTCACTGAAATGCCACGATCTATTGACTAGTCCATAGCGCAATACCTCATTTTACAAGCGCTAGTTGGTTTCAATTTATAAACGTAAAACGTGCCACAGTTACGGACCAGCACAGGTAGTTTATATGCACAACAGTTGTTTTTGATAGAATCGCCAAAGCAAACGTGTGTTTCAATACAGCCGTCGTCTTTACGAGGATGCATCCCGTAAAGCCAGCCGGGAAAATCCGCGTTGCAGCGCCCTCCAATCTGACATGACGTTGGCATCATACGACCTGCGTCGCCTCCAAAGCGGTACCAGCCCTCCGCAAGATTTTTGTCACATTTACCCATAGCCTTTTGCGCGAAGATGTTTCGGTCTCCTTCTTCAAGGATGTTGTAGTGATGGCACTCGAATGCAACCTCACCAACGTCATAACCTAAAAAGGGAAAATATTAATATTCAAGTCTGTAAAAAGAAAGGAAATGGTGAGTGGAAATAAAAAAAAATGGGGGAAATGAATGATTGAAAGCACTTCAGAAAGAAAGACGTTTTAGTGAAAATAAAGAAAGAAATATGACAAGGAGCGATAAAAACGAGAGGTAGAATAAAGGAATGATAAACAAAAAGGAAGACAGATAAGACATACAGACTGGTGGTGTCCCGGTCCATCTTCCGTTCTTGTTGCAGACGCGAATCTGTGATCCATACAACAAACACCCTGGGTTACATGCAAATTTGACGCATGCACCAACACTTCTGTCTTGGCCTACCATGACACCATTGGCTGGAGCGTGTAGCTCTGTGCATTGATAAAGATCTAAAAAAGCATTTTATACATTAATTTCATACATCAAGGTTTACCAGCGTACCTTCGAAAGAAAGACGTAAACGTTTGTAGCTGGACGTACATGGAGTCCAATACCACAATGCATTTTGCCCTTGGAATATGTTATGCAGTATCACAGCAGTTCACAGTACTCAACGTTTTCAAAATAGCAGTATACTCAAACGTTTTTATAAATTGCAATATACTCACTGACAGCGGTGTTGTACTGAACGGGTGTTGGTGATATACTTGTTTCCATTTTGCAAGTGTAAGTTCCTTCATCCTTGGATGAAATCTCGTCTATCGTCAATTGTTGTGTATACAATGGTAATTGATTAGCTGTCCGTGGACGTAGAATCAAAGTCTTTGATTTGATCGGTTTGCCATCTTTCAACCATGTGATGTTTGGCTTAGGTTCGCCAAAAGCAGAGCAGTTCAGTTTTAGTGGTTTACTTATGTCCTTCACCGTCAGTTTGGGCGGCATTAGGTTCATCGGACGAAGAGGGACTACGGAGCACGAACAAGCATAAATAAAACGGACACAAAAGCAAGAAGAAAAAAAACAATTGAAAGACGTCATTTTCTTAAAATTAGTGTCTGAAAATTCGGCCCATCACGTGGAATGTGGAATCGGGAGCCTTCCTGGATTCGAGATTCCATGGAAAATTTCGGATGGGTTCTGGAATATTCCGTTTCTATTACTACGGATTCCGTGTCATGAGGAGAGAAAATTCTGAACCAAAATTAAACAACCACCATGCAGATTTGGTAAAACATGCATGGAATCGAACTAAGGTTTTTAGCAAGCTCCATAGGTTTCATCGCAATATAACTAAATACTCTGTTGTAGCTACATTTTTATGTTAGAGTTACGGTTAAAATCAGATATTTTTTGTGCTTGTTTTAACGAACTAACTTCTACCACTTCCCTTCTAATTATTGTCAGTTCTTTTCAGTATTGTATATTACATCACATGTACAGTGTCATACAGTCAAATCAATTCTTACCGTAGTTTCTCGGGATTATTCTAGTCACGGACATAACATTTCCCAGTACATTCGATCCACGGCATGCATAAAACCCTCCATCAGCCTTAATAGGATTTGCGATATATAAATTATCGTCGAGAATTTTAAGCCTCGGAGGGCGAATCGGTTTGTTGCCCTGTCTTGCCCAGATTATCTTTGGTTTGGGATGACCTTCTATTGGACATTTAACTATTGTTGTCAACTTATTGTAAGCGAAAGTGACTTTAGGAAGTGCCTTGGTTATTCGTGGACGGGCTGTGTAAGAAAATAAGTTATGAATTGTCTTAGTTTGCAGCATAAAAACAGAGAAAATAGGGTTCATGGTCACAATAGTCTCCTTCACGGTTCCCTGCGCCATCTTGAAAGGTAGCCGTGCCGTTACATGACAGTTATTGAAATATCGGGATAAAGAAATCGAAATATGAAAAACGCAAAACTATAATGCATACAGTTCACGTACATGCAACAATAAGTTCGACTTTAGCCGTAGCTCCACCCATGGCATTYTTGGCTTTAAACGTGTAAGTCCCAGAGTCCTCTACCGTCGCATTTTTAATCGTCATTGTACTACCAAACGTTGCTTGACTAGTGGCTTCATTGATCCAAAACGTATCGGGTTCAGGACGACCCACCGCCTCGACTCTTAGTTGGACTTTGGTTCCTTCTCTGACAATCACTGTCTTGTTGGGTCTAGATGTGATGTTAGGAGTAACTATAGAGTGCAAATAATCTGTTAGAAACACAGTCTGTTCAGGCAATCACTTTGAATCGTTATGTACATTGGGTCAAGCCAAAATGTGGGGACGAAGATATCTAAAATACACATGCAAACAAATCACACAATGATAAAATGAAGTGAAATTTCACAATAGTCCTTTTCGCTGTTAGAAAACAAGTTGCGCGAGGGACCTAGTGTTTTTGCACCATCATCGTCATTATGTTTTCCCTAGGAACCGTACCATCATCGTCATTATGTTTTCCCTAGGAACCGTACCATCATCGTCATTATGTTTTCCCTAGGAACCGTACCATCATTGTCATTATGTTTTCCCTAGGGACCGTACCACTGACTTAGGGCACTCTTTTCACTAAAACTTTCTTCAAGGAATTTCAAGAATGGGGCAACAACCCAAAAGTTGCCCTTTTTGAGCTTGTTTATCTTTTTGCAATATGGAAAATATATTTTTTTTTAGTTTTTTTTTTTTTTGTTTCATAATTTTGACATGACTTGACACTCTTGTTCATTTGAGGGCTGCAGCAAATATGTTCCCTGCTTTGGTTCTAATCGCCAAGCGGCCTATTGAATGTTATGCAATCTGGAAATTGACCCACCAAAATCTTTAAATGTTTTTGATGATGCAGCCAGAAGAAATGGTGCTGGTTTAGGCTGGACTCTCGGTCCAGACAAGTGAATAGGAACACCACTTAACGTCACGCTGTCTCTGGACGAGCCTGGGGTTCTTTTCCCCATACGATTGAAAACCATCAACCTTGCCTTATCTCCCGACATCCATTGCACTTTCCCATCAGGTCCTACAATGGCGGCAAGCCCAGGCTTTCCCGTTCTCCCATGGCGGCCACGAGATCCACGATAGCCTCGAGGTCCTCGAAATCCCCTCGGTCCAGGCGCGCCGGCGATAGCGATGATTTGCGCCTTCGTGATCGCTGGGCTTACAACCTGTGGCCGGGTACCCGGAGGGCCTGTAACTGTTGTGTTTGGGGTAATAACTAATAAAATACAGATAAAGATAAAATGAAATACTATTATTAAGCTAAGCCATGTAGATCGAACCCACCATATGATGTTACTGACTAGACACTCTAAGAGTGTTTACTCGCGTCCTGGAAAAAAAATATTTTAAAGCACCGCGATTTTTATAGAAATGCATTCCTGAATATGTTGTGACGCATAACCTCAATTAAAATTAATAGTTTCGTTTAGTCAGGTTCGTTTTGTGTGTCCGTGTTTATCTTCGAACTATTCGATTACTGTAAGATATGAGTTTGGCTTTTATTTCGTGCATGCCAACCTTACTGACGACTTTGAGACATCAAACCATATACACCCCATATTAAGCTATAGCTACGTGGCTAGAACAATAGCGGAGGTGTCAAATCTAAAATATTTTCCTGTCATGATGCTATTCAGAATCCTCCCCAAAGAAAAAAAAAACATTTGTGATAGCGTGTAAATTTATATAGATCACTTACTCAGCCCTTTTTGAAGTCTTTTAGATATCTCTTTTTGTACCTTAGTCGCCAAGAGTTGTTCAAACTGTTCCTTCGTAGGCGCTCTAGAACCTAAAAACAGCATTTATCAGGGGAGAATGCTTGACAAAATGTCAATCGAAGATTAGTTATAATATGTTATAGTTTATCAATTTATTGTATAGAATGTTTCGCAGCATGAGATATCCCTGTGTGTTTACACGTACCAAAAAGGCTTTCAAAGTAGGCCTGGACGTATCTCCTAGTAGCAACGTTTACACCACGTCTGGCGGCTGAAAAATAGAATTGCATGCAAGTGTAATGAACGACGTGCACTAAGATGAGGAATTGTTAACATGATAACCACGTTCGTGTTCAAATCGTGGAATGATTGGAGGAGAAATCATTTTTTTCAAGTCTATCGTTATGATGTTGATGCCCCCATAACCCCGCCCCTAGAATTACTGCAGTAGATTACTAACGTAGGTTAAAGTGTTATACTTGACTCACCAATCAGGTTTACACTGCCTTTGTCAACAGTAACAGTGCCTAGAATAAGAATGTATCAAGATCAAAGAAAATCATCAGTCGAAACGAATACTTGTAAATGAACTTGTAAATGACCTAAAGAAATGAGAATGAAATGACGACGAAGCAAAACAGAAACAAAGAGATCATCGATAATGTAAAACTTTTCTAGCTGCAGAAACAAACGCAGCGACATCTCTATTAATAAATAAGATGCATGAGTCAGTGCTGGTCAGTGTCTCAAATCCTGACCTTCGACCAATTACCGCGAACTGAGCTACCTGCTGCAGCATGCCTTGTGGTTCGATGGAAAGGAAATAAGAGGTGAGGGAAATGAAATAAAAGGAAAGCAGAAACTTAAACTAATGCGTGAAAATGACAAAGACTAAAATAAGAGAAACAAAAAAAGGTGGAAAGTTTCAGAAGGATTGGAAGAAATGCAAACCAGAGACTATGAACCAAGAGAATATTGAGCCCGCAGATGGCTTTACCTAAATCAACAGTCCCGTTGATGATTCGACGTCCACGCGGATCAATGGTGATATTCTTACCATCAGCTGAGAAAAAAATTATTTATATTTCATTGAAAAACAATAAATTATATTCCTCGGCTGCTTTCGATTCCGGAAATGGGAACAGAAACGATGGAAAATCGTACCTTTTACGCAAACTATGTAATCTTTTTCCTTGAAAGAACAGAGTCAAAATTAGATAGTTGCATTGTTGGGATTTTGGCAATAATCTCTCATTACATACACCGCCACCACAGACAGCAAAAATACTTAACACAGACTGCTTGATTGCGTGACTGTCACACAGTTCTATATAACCCTACCTTGATGACCTTTTTGCATCTTGTTGTTAATGGTTGTTTAGAAATAGCATCCCAGAATTCATTCACTTTTATCAACGCCGTCAAATTNGTGGCTGTTGACTTGGCAACTGTTGTCCTATTTGCAGTATGAGTCCCATTTAGTTTTGGTTCGACTTGCGTTACTTTCCCTGTACCAATTTGTTTTTGCTCTTGCTTTTTTTTCAATTCTTGTTGTTTTTTGAGCTCTTGTTGTTTTTTAAGTTCTTGTTGTCGTTTTAACTCCTGCTGTTTTTTCAATTGCTGTTGACGAGCTAATTGCTGCTGTCTTATCAGTTCTTGTTGTCTTCGACGAGCGATCTGTTGCTGACGTCGTCTTTGTAACTCCTGTTGTCGACGTCTCTGTTGCTCTAGCTGTCGACGGCGCGCAAGTTCTTGTTGCCGTCTTCGCTGCTGCTCTTGTTGCCGTCGTCTTTGCCACCACGTCTGTCTTTTTTGTCGTGAAAGAGCCCGCGCAGCAGACATACTGATTGAATGAATGTCGCGTAGTTGTTGTTGTAAGACCTTGATTTTGTTCTGTGCATGTGTTATGTCACTTCTTTGCGATTGTAAAGTATACCCCAATATGAGTACCGATGCAATAAGCAACAGAAAGTTAATTACAGTGAAGACAACATGCAAATGTGAAGACGATTTGTGTTTGGTCTCCATCTTTGAAGCCTCTTCAAATCCAGACAATTTAGTTAAAGTTCATGTATCGTATTACAAGTAATAAGTGAATGGAGCCTTTGATTACCGTTTCATCTCAAGGTTTTTTGATCATCCACTATCTAAAGAATAACGATAGCAAAATAACGATTACAATGACGTCGACAATGATATCCATAATGAAAAGGGCTAACATTACCTCCCGCAAGTACTGTAATGAAGTACGATAACGGCAATAACAGCAATGATTAGAATCATATTTATGAAGATGACTCGTAGCAAACCATTACAGATGGTGTGATCAGTAACAATAAATTTCAATAAACAATAATCTACCATAATCGGCACATCAACTAAAAAATCGAGAAAAAAAACGAGAAACCAAGAACGACAAGAACCATAGCGCTTGACAAAAATAAGAGAACTTCGAACTGTCAATAATTTGGTTATCGATACAAATCACATTAAATGTATCTTATCTTATCTATCCTAACTCACCATTTTCACCATTAATTGGTTCACTGATTGATTAAAGATTGTTTCTTTATTTGAATTTTCTATTTTCAGAAGGAATGAATCTTGAATTGCTTTGCACTACCTGTGCACTGTAAAAAAAACTCCAAACTGCTGACCATAAGTAACAGTCGGCTCAACAACATGGCGGTGCACTGAGCAAAAGTTGAAATGACTACCGGGTTAAAAGTACCGGGGATGCTCGGGGATCTCTAAAGGGGAAAAAAATCGTGATTTGGAATATTTTAGGATGCCAATATAGAGTTTCTGGAAATTTGTATTTTCTGCAATCTCTTAGGGTGTCGGAAAGAAACAGAAAGACTTCATGGATCTTTTAGGGGTTTAGTTGGAGTTGAAGCTGTAGTGGCGGGTTTAAGAAAAGGAAGTCAACATGCACTAGTTGCCCTTCGACGCTTAGCGCTTATCACGTTGGAAGTCCCATCGAAGGACAAAAGCTACCACTGGGTGTTACAATGGATAACAGCCAACGCAAGAAAAGCACAGCACATCAGCGTCACACGACTTTCAACAACATGATACTTTCATCAGAAGGCTGCTAACAGCAGTGAAAATCTGTAGACTCCTCTCCAGTCAATACAAGGCTCGTTCCAAGGTCAAGGGGAGGGACATGGGCTGCGAGAAGAGACTACAAAATCTGGCATCGATCTATTTTGACCCTTTTTGGCTGCTTTTGCCAAATTAAGGTTGTAACACTAGTGTACCCTTTGATTTACGTACAGTTACTAGTTTTCAGAAAAGCCAACTGCTTAATGACACCCGTGATTTACGTACGCTTTTTAACAAGAATTCAATCATGCAAGTACCTGCAAAATTTTGTTCACATAAGCAGCCAAGACCTTGTATTCTTTTTGTGCGCAATAGTCTTCTTTGAAGTTTCCTGCACCATCTTATAAGGTCTCCATGCCTCCATGTATCAAAGTAAGATGTCTAGTATGCATGCAATGATAAGAGACCTTTCACACCAATAAAAAAGACAGTTACGGAATATCGCCATGTTCCCAGTCTGCATTTCAAAACTGCCTATTTCGCGATTTCGTCGTTGTCGCTGCAGGTAATTCATCTGAGCAGCCGTTCATTCGTCGCAAGCTCGCTAGCGGTCGTGACTCTCGGGTTGCTGTTCAAGGCCATGTCGCCCAAAACAGGGCCTCTATAAACTGCTGTCCAATCCATAGATTTGTCACTGAATATTATTCACAAGTATCGTATCATGACACTCCAATTTTGATTATGATACCAACTTTTTCATAAATATGCCATATTCAGGGAACATGGAGCGGGAATCTGTTTGGGGGGCTAGCGGCTGCCGAAGGCAGGAGTGGGGGGTTCGGGTTATTCTCCCCGGAAAATTTTGAAATCTTAACTCTCGGAGATATCATTTCCAGCGTTTTGAGGCGTTTTCCAATACATATTTCTGACCGCTAAAACTGCACACACGATCACATGATATTCAATAAAATCCCAAAGACTTCGCAAAAAAGCTTCATTAATTGTTTTTACACAATCTTCATATAATGAAAAGTGAAATTTCACAAAGAGTCTCTTCGCTTCTTTATTTAAGAAAATTCAAAGTGGCGGAAAAATTATTGGCCCCTCTGCTCCGCGGTCCATGATATTTGTGGTCTTTTGATCATTGTCACGTTGCTTTTTTATGGTCAGGAATTCCTTATAGAAGAGGATATCTATTATATGGACCTTCAGGATGTGGAAAAAGTTGTTTTATTATGTAAGATTTTTACTTTCTTCTATTGCATTTGAACCAAATCATGAAAGCAGTTCCATAGGGCTACTGACAACACTGGGAAGTTGTTATGTCACTGAGGACCTATTGATAATGATCTGTTTTAACACTATTTTATTAATCATCTTTAGACAAGCCTATTCAGGAGAACTAGATTACAATATCTGTGATGGACCTGAGTGATCGTTGAAGACTCAACCATTTTTAAAATGATTGTAGCTCCCAACTGATGACGCTAAAGATAGAAGTAAAAGAGAAAATCATTTAATGTGTGTATGAATAGTGAAGGTGTCCAAATCTAAAATAAACCAAACTATACTCTCTAATTCAGATTGCTTGAGAGTAGTCAATTGGACATTGTCATTGTAGACTGGTGAAAAAGATTTTATTTTTTCGCTAAAAATTATCATAGTCTTCCATGATACTGTCCCCCCCCCCTCCCCCAAGATAAAAAATCATTTATTGCATGAAAATTCCCATCACTTACTCAGTCCTTTTTGAAGTCTTTAAGTATCTCTTTGATGAAGTAATGGTTTGGACTGCGGCAAATAAATGTGTAATGAATATGATCGTCGCAGTCTAAATAATAATCTAATCGATTATTGATAAATGTAAAACATTTCGGGCTTCAACAGGAATCGCACTCATGAACTCTACGATGCCGGTACAGTGYTCTACTAATTGAGCTATGAAGCCAACTATATACAGATATCTCTTTATGTACCTTTGTCGCCAGGAGTTGTTCAAACTGTTCCTTCGTTGGCGCTCTAGAACCTAAAAACAGCATTTATCAGGGGAGAATACTTGACAAAATGTAAATCCAAGATAAGTTATAATACATTATAGCGTTTATCAATTTATTGTATAGAATGTTTCGCAGCATGAGATATCCCCTGTGTGTTTACACGTACCAAAAAGGCTTTTAAAGTAAGCCTGGACGTATCTCCGAGTAGCAACGCTTACACCACGTCTGGCGCCTGAAAAATAAAAACGCAAGTGTAATGAACGATGTGCACTAAGATGAGGAATTGTTAACATGATAACCACGTTCGTGTTCAAATCGTGGAATGATTGGAGGATAGATTGGAGGATAGATATGTCCGGCGTCCCTATGGGTGTTGATACCCCCATAACCCCGCCCCTAGAATTACTGCAGTAGATTACTAACGTAGGTTAAAGTGTTATACTTGACTCACCAATCAGGTTTACACTGCCTTTATAAAAAGTAACCGTGCCTAGAATAAGAATGTATAATAAAGAACATTGAAATATCATCAGTCGCAATGAATCCTTGAAAATCAGGGCTAGAGAAATGAGAATAAAATTACGGCAAAGCAAAAAAGAAAGAAAGAGAAAATGTACATATTTGCTAGCTGCATAAACAAAGGCAGCGACATCTCTATTAATAAATAAGATGCATGAGTCAGTGCTGGTCAGTGTCTCAAATCCTGACCTTCGACCAATTACCGCGAACTGAGCTACCTGGTGCAGCATGCCTTGTGGTTCGATGGAAAGGAAATTCAAGGTGAAGGAAATGAAATCAAAGGAAAGCAGAAACTTAAACTAATGCGTGAAAATGACAAAGACTAAAATAGGAGAAACAAAAAGGTGGAAAGTTTCAGAAGGATTGGAAGAAATGCAAACCAGAGATTATGAACCAAGAGAATATTGAGCCCGCAGATGACTTTACCTAAATCAACAGTTCCGTTGATGATTCGACGTCCACGCGGATCAATGGTGATATTCTTACCATCAGCTGAGAAAAAAATCATTTATATTTCATTAAAAAACAATAAATTATATTCCTCGGCTGCTTTCGATTGCGGAAAATGAAAATGGGAACAGATAAGAAAACGTACCTTTTACACAAACTATGTAATCTTTTTCCTTGAATGAACGGAGTCAAAATTAGTCTAGATAGTTGCATTGTCGGGATTACATGGTAAAAAATCTCTCATTACATACACCGCCACCACAGACAGCAGAAATACTTAACACAGACTGCTTGATTGCGTGACTGTCACACAGTTCTATATAACCCTACCTTGATGACCTTTTTGCATCTTGTTGTTAATGGTTGTTTAGAAATAGCATCCCAGAATTCATTCACTTTTATCAACGCCGTCAAATTGGTGGCTGTTGACTTGGCAACTGTTGTCCTATTTGCAGTATGAGTCCCATTTAGTTTTGGTTCGACTTGCGTTACTTTCCCTGTACCAATTTGTTTTTGCTCTTGCTTTTTTTTCAATTCTTGTTGTTTTTTGAGCTCTTGTTGTTTTTTAAGTTCTTGTTGTCGTTTTAACTCCTGCTGTTTTTTCAATTGCTGTTGACGAGCTAATTGCTGCTGTCTTATCAGTTCTTGTTGTCTTCGACGAGCGATCTGTTGCTGACGTCGTCTTTGTAACTCCTGTTGTCGACGTCTCTGTTGCTCTAGCTGTCGACGGCGCGCAAGTTCTTGTTGCCGTCTTCGCTGGATCTCTTGTTGCCGTCGTCTTTGCCACCACGTCGTCGTACCGGTTTGTGTTTGTTCTTGTTGCTGTCGTCCTTGTCTCTTTTGTTGTAGTTCCAGTTGTAGTCTTCCATGGATGAGTTCTTGCTGAAGTCGCCTTTGTAACTCCTGTCGGCGACATCTCTGTAGCTCTCGCTGTCGTTGGCGCACTAGTTCTTGTTGTAGTTCCAGTTGTCTTCGACGGGCGAGGTCTTGCTGAAGTCGTCTTTGTAACTCCTGTTGTCGACGTCTCTGTACCTCTCGCTGTCGTTGGCGCACTTGTTCTTGTTGCCGTCGTCCTTGTCTCTTTTGTTGTAGTTTCAGTTGTCTTCGACGAGCGAGTTCTTTCTGACGTCGTCTTTGTAACTTCTGTTGTCGACGTCTCTGTTGCTCTAGCTGTTGACGGCGCTCAAGTTCTTGTTGCCGTCGTCTTTGCCACCACGTCTGTCTTTTTTGTCGTGGAAGAGCCCTCGGAGCAGACATACTGAGGGAATGAATGTCACGTAGTTGTTGTTGTAAGACCTTGATTTTGTTCTGTGCATGTGTTATGTCACTTTTTTGCGATTGTAAAGTATACCCCAATAAGAGTACCGATGCAATAAGCAACAGAAAGTTAATTACAGTGAAGACAACATGCAAATGTGAAGACGATTTGTGTTTGGTCTCCATCTTTGAATTTGAAGCCCCTCCAAATCCAGACAATTTTATAGTTAATGGTCATGTATCGTATTACAAGTAGCTTAAGACCCTGGCAGCAGTGTTGACTCGTGCCACTAAACGTGTTGAAAATTGCATGTGCTGGCTTACTATTATAATCGACGAAACATAACGGGAATCTGTATTCAACGAAACGAGTTCAGCTCTCTAGATATACAATAGTTTTTGAAAAATCTTTAAAAGACACAGACACAGACACAGTATAAAACATCTGAGCTGCGAGCAGATTCCTCTGCTCGCAGGATAGTAAACATCACGCACGGCAATGCAAACGTGTCTCAATCTCTGGCTTAACGCCAACGAGCTTCGCCAATTGGCTTAACAAAACTCAACCTTTATGACCAAAACCAATGTCCTATAAATCCATACTCTTAAAACAAATGAATGTTTTGGAATCTCAAAGAATTAGCTCCATTTCGGCGATTATAGTTACCCACACAGTTTTACTATACTATAGTAGACGGGATAATTGTAAATTTACAGATTCTAAAATTCTTTAAACATAATGGATAACTGAGGGAGGGGAGAGGTTTCGTTATAACTAGTAAACTGTGTGGTTCACTATAATTGCCAAAATGGAGCTAATTCTTTGAGATTGGAGCCCTTTTGTTATACACCGGGAAGACTTCCTATAAGAAAAGGGCAGGGTCTTCGTCGGAAATTCTGAAAATGGCCCCTTGGACCTGTATTGTGAGATGATGGGCGCGGCAGTGCTGAAATTTCACCGCTAAGAGGGACCAATCAATTAAATGGTTATTACGACCACGGTTATTACGACCAAACATTCATTTGTGTAAGAGCATATATCGTGCCAAATAGTGCACTTTCCTTGGCGAGATATAAACCGATGACTTCGTAGCTGGGTAAAGCGGCAACGTAGATGTCTAATTCGAGTCTGATTCCGAGTTGCATAGCCGAAATTTTCCAATTGATTAGGGATTCCGTCTCTTCTGGATAAAAGAAAACAATGCTGTTCAGGCAGGAGTATTCCTAGATGAAGATTGAAGCGTTCATGGTTATATGGAGGTGTTTTATTATTAATAGGTGCGATGATGATGTCATTTCGTATAGAGATCGGAGGGCGATCGAGAGATCCCGAAGGCAAATTTGTATACACGTTGCATTTTATAGTTCGTGCCCCCGGCCAAGGGCCTGAGCACTCATAAAGAACATATCGAATTTTATCGACATTGTCCGGTTTTCTACGTGCGAATACACCATGAACTTACACCCTCTGAACTTACACCATACACCAATCAGAATGCTGTATTTGTGAGATTGATACAGTCAAGTAATTTGGGTTAAATACAAATCATATTAAAAGTATCTTTAACAAATCACCATTTTCACCATTCATTGGTTCACTGATTGATTAAAGATTGTTTCTTTATTTGAATTTTTCTACTTTCTGAAAGATTCTTGAATTGCTTGGGCTACCTGTGTACTGTAGAAAAACTCTAAACTGCTGAGCATAAGTGACAGTCGGCTCAACAACATGGCGGCGCACTGAGCAATAAAAATGCCGATGTCTGATTTGGTATCTTCTTTAGGAGATAATCCGTATTTCTCTGCAGGTTTTGGTTTAGTTGGAGTTGGAGCTGTAGTAGCGGGTTTAAGAAAAGGAAGTCAACATGCATTAGTTGCCCTTCGACGCTTGGCACTCATCACGTTGGAAGTCCCATCGAAGGACAAAAGCTACCACTGGGTGTTACAATGGATAACAGCCAACGCAAGAAAAGCACAGCACATCAGCGTCGAGACGACTTTCCAACAACATGATACAGGAAGAATCAGCACTAGATATGATTATGTTCCAAGTCCAGGAACACATTTTTTTCAGTACAAAAATAACTGGATCCGCGTTGAAAGAAGTCGAGAGAAGATGGTCGATCTAACAACTGGTGCACCTTGGGAAACTGTAACATTGACAGCTCTAGGGAGGGATAGGAAGATCTTTAATGATTTATTAGAGGAAGCTAGGGTTATGGCTCTTGCTAAGACTGAAGGAAAAACTGTTATGTACATACCAATGGGAGCTGAGTGGAGACAGTTTGGCTTCCCAAGAAGGAAAAGACCTCTAGATTCAGTCATTCTCGGTGACGGAATTAGTGAGAATATATTATTGGATGTCAGAGATTTCAATTCAAATTCAAAGTGGTACATGGATAGAGGTAACATTTCTATTATCATAATATTGTAATGGATGTGATTGCAAAAGCAACGCAYATGACAATAAGTCAATTGGTCTTTGTGAGTGTGCAGCAAGCTGCAGGGTTTTCATCAGAAGCCTTCTACCATCAAAATCTGGCATCTATTTTGATCTTTGGGCTGGCTACTTTTGCCAAATWAATTAGCTGCAAAATTTTGTGCACATGAGCACATGTTAATCAAAACATGAGTTTTATATCCCCCYAAAAAWAAGATTTACAATACCAAGCATTTAACAATGAYGCAATAGATGACTTCACGCTTGACGATGAATCATGGGTAATAAGGACAAGATTACTAAGAGGCGATGGGGAAAGAGATACTTTTTTCACTATATTTCCATTCTGAGGAAAATTTGCAGGACCAAACTTTTGTAGTTGATAGAGATACCTCTATTCCATGTATTGTGATGTTCTTGAGCCAATTAAGACTCATATAAACACTGATTATCAGAAGGACGGAGGCAGTAGATTTGTGATAAGACTCGATGAAAATAGCTCAATTTGACCATTGAAAAAAATCATGCCGCAGCAAGAATGACCCGATCAGCTCAAAAATAGCCACAAAACATTGAACAGTCAATAATCCATCTACAGAAAGAGTCTGGTTTGGTATGTTTAACTCAGAAACGAAATATTGCGAATAACGTACATGTATCTCTCAATTCATTGTCAAGCCTGAAGTCATCTATACAACAGAATTCAATGCCATGCATAAATTGGTCAGAAAATTATTCACAAGTATCTATCATTGCACTGCAATTTTGATTATTATGGCAAGTKTTTTAGTAAATTTAACAAAATTGTSGTCTGTTGATCATTGTCTTTACTGTTTTTATTRTCAGGAATTCCTTATAGAAGAGGATATTTATTATATGGACCTCCAGGATGTGGAAAAAGTAGTTTTATGTAAGATTTTACTTTCTTCTATTTGMATTTGAATCAAATCATGAGAACAGTTCCATAGGGCTACTGACAACACTTGGAAGTTGTTATGTYAYTGAGGACCTATTGATAATKATCTGTTTTAACWCTATTTTATTAATCATYTTTAGACAAGCCCTTGCAGGAGAGCTAGATTACAGTATCTGTGTGATGAACTTGAGTGATCGTAGTCTATCCGATGACAGACTCAACCATTTAATGAGTGTAGCTCCTCAGCAGAGTATCATTCTATTGGAAGACATTGATGCTGCCTTTGTTAAGACTGATGAGGCTAAAGATGGAAGTAAAAGAGAAAATGTGTATATGAACAGGGTGGGTATTGCTATACTTTAATGATACAAATAGTAATGATTGACATGGTTAGTTCTAACTGTGGGCATGATCTTCATATTCTGTAGAGTCTTAGTATTTGCGATGTTACTAGACAATCATAACTCACAAAAGTAAATATACAATGATTAATGTGGTGATCGGTTTCTTTAGGTAACCTTCAGTGGATTACTAAACTGTCTAGATGGGGTGGCATCAACAGAAGAACGAATTGTATTCATGACAACAAACCATCTAAACAGACTTGATGGAGCACTTATAAGACCAGGAAGAGTTGATGTTAAACAAGAAATTGCCTGGGCATCCAGGAGCCAGTTAATAAGAATGTTTATGCGTTTTTATCCTGAACAATCACATACATTAGCTACAAAGTTTGCTGATAAAGCATTAGAGTCTGGTGAAGACAAAAGTGTAGCTCAAATTCAGGGACATTTTATGAGGTTTAAAAATGATCCTCTTGCAGCTGTTGAACAAGTTGAATTGATAAAGTTATAACCAATAAATGGAAAAAGCAGCTAGTTAAATGCTAAAGAAATTACTTGATTGATGCTCCAATATTTCTAGCAGTGAAAATCTTTGAAATCAATACCCTGTTCTAGAGTAAAATCYCTGAAAACGATACCCTGGTTGCACATACCCATATAGCAAATATAGGGGAGTACACCCTTGCCCCAGATGTATTCCCATCCTTTTCTTCAATAAACAGTTAAGTTTTCAACCACAGCAACCGGGAAGGCTCCTCTTTTGTTGGCTTGTACCAGAATGGTAGGCTTGGRACTCCTATCGCAACTTTACTCCAGGGATGCCAATTCAACCATTTATCCACACTTCAATAAAAAAGTGTACTCAAAGAGAATCTATTACATATAACAATTTGTTATATTTAGAACCCTAAATAATCTGTGAGGGAAATATGCTTGAGACCRCATCTTACATGTTACTTTCCATTCTTTCTGCCAAAATTTTTACTACCAATTAAAACTTTTAAGAGTTAAAATTCGAGTAAAACTATAAATATCTGATAATCGTGAAGAACCATTTTTTGAAAGTCACAACGAAGAGACTGCGAAACTGTCTCCGCTTTGTGCGGGATTCCTGTGGTAAGCATGACAATCACATGACAGTTCCACACTGTCGAAAGGGACGTGCACTCAGAATGGCTGCTCAAAGAATGGCTTGCTTGCTAGCTTTCCTGTTTGTTATTGCCATCTCTTCATGTAAAGCGAGTAATGATACGATTCCTGCAGTTATCTGGCATGGAATGGGTGAGGTGGCAGTTGAAATTCTATCGGATAATAAACTGTAGTTGTTATGATGTTATCGTTCTATTTAGGTGATTCGTGCTGTAATCCCTTGAGCATGGGCTCTATAAAACGACTGATCCAATCGAAAATACCGGGTATCTATGTTCGTTCTCTTATGATTGGAAATAATATAATCGAGGTATGAAATCTGCATGCATCTACCAGTATTTTGAAAGCTTCTTTCAACTTAATTTAACTTATTAAACTTATAACTTAACTAAAGCTTAATTCTTAATTTCTTCTTAATTCTTTTCAGGATACTGAAAATGGATTTTTGATGAATGTCAATGATCAGGTATGATTTTGTTTGACTTTAAATTTGTTTTCCGGATTTATTCTTTTCCGGGTATCCTTTTCTGATGAGTTTGATAACTTCCTCACCATGCAGATGTTGTAGGTGTTTTGTTTTGTCTCTTTCATTTTTTTCTTTTCTTTTTATTTTTTTCTTATAGTCTGTCAACTTATCTTATTTCTTGAGTAAGCTGCTTCATTATAAAATGGATTCATTCTTATCATGAGTAGTTCTGGAAAATATCCATGCCATAGGACGGGCGGCATTTCGATAATCCAGAGGGGAAGGGGGGGTCATCGATTTGGGAATTCTAAGGGGGAGGGGGGACTGAAAGATTTCTGAAATCCAAAGGAGGGGGGACGTAAAGACAAATTATAGAAAACGACCTTTAACCGGGACTTACATTGATCACGATCTAAGAGTCGAAAAAATCACTATAAAAATGTTTGAAAACCACGACATCTTAATGCAAAATACATACAATGAAAGCAACACAGGTCATTTTCGAGTTATTTTAACAACGTTTAAAGCATCCATAGGGTCAGTAATTGGAGGGCGATTGTAAACAACATGTGGTCAGCAGTTTCTTGACAGAAATTAATAACGTCTCAGTCGTCTTGGTCACAGATAACACCATGGCTAGTGAATTTTTTTCTTACAAGTCTAATTTGTTCGAACATTACTTGTTGCTGCGAGCAAAGTGAGTAGCCTCCTATTCGGAACACAGTGTTGATTCTAGGATGTCCCTAGCAGAACATATGATACATACGATCAGCAATTCAAGTCCATACCATGTCAAGAGTCAATTCAAGGATGTCCCTAAAAGAACACGCCATACACATGGCCAGCGGTTRTACAAGTTTGACTTGTGTTTGAATTGCGTTACTTTTTAATACTTTTTAGATGTCAAGGTCATGTTTATTTATTCGTGGAATTATTCATCAAGGTCATGAGCGGTTTAATGACGTTTCAAGGGGAAGACAGTGTTCTTTTATGCGTTCATAGTTTCGCTTGGATAGAATTAGATTGGAATTTAGATTGGAATTTGCAAAACGGGTAGCTTGAAAAAAATGTATACTGCCTGAAGAATTTTGTGTTACGTGACAAGTTTACATCACACCACTGCGATGCTGATGTGACCTAACATCTGTTATACATTTCTATTAGAAATGACTAGTTAATAGATRTAAGGTGAAAGATAATTCCAACAGCAATGATTTTTGCATGTTTTTTAAGCACTTCCACGAAGCTAGACTATGCATTGTTTTTAAATGATCAGTTTTACAATTGCATTCTCTAACACAGTGCTTGTTTTGGAGAGARTATTTATTCTTATTCATTTCCAAGGAAGCAAACTAATTTCATGGGGGGTAAAACACAGTTTTGGAATTCCTAAGGGGAGGGGGGATACCCAGTTTCGGAATTTCCTAAGGAGGGGGGGGGTTGAAAATCGATGCCGCCCGTCGTATGGTACGGATATTTTCTGGAACTACCCAATGTTCTATATGTCCAAGACTAGATCATAGTAAATGAAAGTTTCTAATAAGCATGGATGTACTATGGGGTTTGGTGTATTGCAAACAAACTCCTGGCAATTTTAGATAGCACTCAAATAGGCTAATGATTTCATCTACARCATAATAATATAATTTATTTTTTGATGATTCCAATCCTTCCTACAGTTTTAGTAATTGAATATATTATATTAATTTTATGTTTGATCAATCAAAGATCACTCAAGTTTGTGGAAAGCTTGCCAATGACCCCAAACTGAAAAACGGTTACAATGCCTTGGGATTTTCTCAAGGAGGACAGTTTCTGTAAGTTGTTATTCTCTCATCTAAATGCCTATAGATTGTGTTATTTTCAAATGGACTCTTTTTCACTTCAGTTGAAAGGTGAAACAATGYGATGCAAAAACTGATTCAGCTTTGAGATCAGGTTCATCCTTAGAAGTGATGCTTTTAATGTTTTATTTGACACTCCCTGAAAAAAAAACCTGGATAAGATACAACAAGCATTAGATCCTGCACCTCCTGCTGCATTTGAAAGTGTAAAGTGATAGAGCAGCTATCCCATGTTCTTTTCAAAGAAAACTAAGAGGGCGATGTTTCTTGTCTGGAATTCAAACCCTTAGTAGGCCCAAGAACCCAAAAGTCTGTATAGTCTTACAATGTTATAGTTAAATAAAAAAATTATATAATTGAACTTAGCATCAACTGACAACTGTGTTCATTTGAATTAGGCGAGCAGTAGCCCAGCGATGTCCTAACCCACCTATGCGTAATCTCATCAGTTTTGGTGGCCAGCACCAAGGGGTGTATGGTTTTCCACATTGTCCAGGAAGTGCTACTATTTGTAATATTGTCAGGGAGGCACTGAACTATGGTGCTTATATCAGGTATGGGATTTTTCAAGCTAAAAGTCTCCTTCACAGTTCCCTGATCAAAACATACTGTACGTGTATGCGTGACTTTGTATTGAACATGCGAAATATCACTGCATACTCACTGGTCGTCCCACTTTGATGCAATGACACAGCTTSCTTTCAAGATAACCCTGGAGCTGCAAAGAAAACTAATATTGGCATTGCCCAGCTCTCAGCCAAAAACCCAAAATGTTGTATTTTTAATTCTAATGTTTGTTGCTCATTTCGTTGCAATGTAACTAGTGAAGAAATTTTAGAATTTTTTAAGATTAATGATAATATACATGTGAAACCTAGAGATCTAGTTAAATTTTATTTCATTTGATTAATGATTATTTCTCTTCGTTTTTTTCAGTTATATCCAAGACCAGTAAGTAAAAGATACATGGATCAACATTTTGTATTATCAAATATAGTGTTTCTCAAATGTTTGTATGATTGATGTTCTTTCTATCTCATATTTTCAGTATTGTCCAGGCTGAATATTGGCATGATCCACTCAATGAAAAAGAATACAGGGAGAAGAGTGTCTTTCTTGCTGACATAAACCAGGAAAAAGTAAGTCTATTCTAGTCTGGCATAAGAGGGTGTGATATTGTGCCTCATTAATTTATCTGCATCTTGGTTGACTCAGAACTGGCTTTCTACAGTTGATTGATTTTCAATACATTGTATTCCCATTCACAATATATATATATAGTTTTCTAAGTTTAGAAGCATATTATTTTAGACAACAAACAACACCTACAAAGTTAATCTAATGAAGCTGAAGAACTTTGTAATGGTCATGTTTGCTAATGATACCATGGTGGTTCCAAAGCAATCTGAGGTGAGAGCAATAGTACCCTTATTTAAAAGATAAGAAGAAAGAGAAAAATCTGTAATTATGCTGCATGGAGTACTGCACAATATGTATAAACCAAGTCATTTAGTCCATACTGGTAGAATTTGAAAACMGGTACTTAATATTAGTCTGTTCTTATTAAATGTACTTGCTTTTCTTGTAGTGGTTTGGATTCTACAAACCAGGGCAGGCAAAGGAGCTTTACACTCTACAAGAAAGTGACCTTTATAAAGAGGTATGTTGTTATATCTAAGAGATGACTCAGTGTAAAATTCTCACATATGGTTTTGGTCTCTTTGTTAAAATCATCTCTTAGTTTCCATTACCAATTTTTTTAAAACAACATTGTAGTTTTTAAAAGTATCCTTAAAAATATAGTGTGCCCTGACTGGCCGGCATGCAGTCTTGATTGTCTTGGCCTTGCCAGTTATTTTATTAGAAATTGTTGTCAGACCACATAGTCAAGATGAATATTTTTTCCAGAATTCAAAAACATTTACATTTTTGTTAGAATGCACCATCTTTTCTTGTCAGTTGACTTTTATCATTTCTATCCAAAGGATCGTCTTGGTCTGCAAGAAATGAACAAAGCTGGCAAGCTRCACTTCTTAACAGCCATTGGAGATCATCTTCGATTCACTGATGAATTTTTTGAAGAAAAGATTTTACCCTTTTTAAAGATGTAGCATTCCCATGAAATTGTTTTAACTAGAAAATCTTATTAATACTAAACCAAAACAATAGTCTAATGAAAATTAACAGATCTGCTACAAATGTACACAGCATTCTTGTGGTGTACATCAAGTGAAGACACTGAGTTAAAGAAAAAAAAGGCATATTTGTCCTTATCAATTAAGGAACAAGGAATGAAATAGGAAATGAACACAAGCATAATGAATGAAAAAAAGCACTTGAAGTTTTTTTTATTACAAATCCAAGAGGTTGCAATAATGGGAAGAGGGATATACATTGTAAGTGTGTAAATTCTCTCCTAAAAATTCCCTCACACTGTAACAATTGTTTTGTATTATTGTAAATTGATTGTACCATAATGTAAAAATTGGCACAAATTTCAAAACATAGAGTGCACGTCACATAAGCATGAAACAATTCTTAACTAATTAGCGCCTAATAAGATTTAGTTATCAACTAAMTAAGAATTYASTGRGGCATGAACACAATGCCAGAAAGGAAGCTTGTCTTTGTTTATGCCTCACTAAACTCTTAGTTAGTTGATAACTAAATCTTATTAGSCGCTAATTAGTTAAGAATTGTTTCATGCTTATGTGACGTGCACTCTAATAAATATTTCAATAGGATATTTCTAATAAACATATTGTGTACAATAAATTTGTCCAGAATATTAATTTTACAAGCAAAGGATTTTGTTTGAGTTTGTATGGGACTTTCATGTTATGCTATACTGTTAGCTATGATCTTTTCTTAATACAGTGTTTTCTGTGAATTTCTGCAACTGTATCAGRTGAAAAGTCATATGAAATCTGCTCCAGTGACAGGGGCCACAAACCATATCTTTGTTTTAGGGAGCTAACAGCCATCAAAGGCTGGATCAAGCAGGGAGGAACAGGAAAAAATTCTGGAGGCTACAGTACCCCCTTGCTCCCTGAGTGGTAGGCATATAGATGACTAACCGTTCCAAGGCCATAGTATCTTATCCCTTCCAGTTCTATACCCTTCTTCTAGACTGTCCAATATTTCCATGTGTGGTTCCTCAATGTAAAAATCAAAAACCTTGGAGTTTTCTTTGATACGCTCACTTTGAAATGACTTTGGGATACAAACGAATCCCTTTTGAAGACTCCATCGCAGCAGAATTTGAGCTGGAGTTCTATTGTACTGATATGCAAGTGATCTCAGAACATGATTATCAAGTTTTTGTCCTCTTGTCAGGGGAGAATATGCTTGTATAACAATCCCTCTATCCTTGCAATAGTCTACCAATGATGATTCCTGTAAGAATGGGTGGACTTCAATTTGATTGACAGATGGTGTTATTTCACTGTGCATTTTGAGGGCTTCCAGATGGTGGATGTTGAAATTGGATACTCCAATTGATCTATGAAAATATTGTTAATAAATAAGTAAATTAATATCTCACATACATTTATTTCTCAGACCGTTTTTGAACAATTATAAGTCACAGTATAATAGACCTTCTATTACTACTTGGATGCAAGACTKTTACCTTATGAATCCTTTCTCCTTCAGTTCACCCATTGCTTTCCACGTTTCAACTACTTTCCCTGGTACCGGAAAATGAATCAAGTACAGATCCACGAAATCAACACCAAGCAACTTCAGACTTTTCTCAAAAGCAATACGAGTTTCGTTATAACCATGATCTTCGTGATAAACTTTCGTGACAACGAACACTTCTTGTCTTTTGAGCCCGCTCTCCCTGATGGCTTCGCCAACACTTCGCTCATTTTTATACCTTGCTGCTGTATCAATTTGTCTATAGCCAGTTTCTAAAGCGCAAAGAACAGCCTTTCGGGTTAACTTAACGTCGATGTCGTAAACTCCTAACCCAAAGCAAGGAATTTTGACCTTATCATTCAAAGTGATTGTGTCTGTGATGGAGGTTTCGTGTAAACTTTTCATTCGACGATAAGAAGAATTTGCTTCGAGTTTTATCGCCTCGCTGCTATTTAGAATCAAAGAGAAAGCGACATAAGAACATAATTAATAGAAGAAATAACACTTTTCATTGATTATTCTACCTGGAGTCGAAGCTATTTCTTGTGAAAGTGGTTTCAGTCGTACAGATCTGCCGACAAAATTGTCGAAGAAGAATATCAACTGCAAATGATTTAGAGAATGCGCTTTTAAGCCGTGACATGACGAGAAGAAACTTTAAAACAACAGCAAAGTTTATCAGACGATGATATTTTGATCACATCTTTAGGAATGCCGAAAATGGTCAAATTTCCCACTAAAGTCGTTTTGTTGATAATTTATCAATTACGTCACTTCCTGTCTTGTGCAAAGGAAGCCCACGGGCTTCTGTTGGTGTCGCATTTTGGAAATTATGACTTTGAATACAAAATACTGATCAGATCAGCTATAAATGCCAAGGAAATGAATAAATATGTTATATCAAGTAAACAAAAAATCTCAGCAAATAGTGTTTTATATGATAAATCAAGGGCAAATCTAAGGGGTGATTAGGGTGGATAGCCACACCTTTTTTAGGGCAGGCTCAAAGATATAGAAACAGCTATTATGATGAATAAATAAATGAAGAAATSAAATCTATATAAGGTGCTCCCTTATGAAAGGGGTTAGGTCCTAGTCATCCATTTTAGTTTTTGGAATCAGTAGTTAGATCCTGCATCAAGTGATAATGATGAGAATTTCCACCCAGTTTTGTGGTCACTAAACAGGCATCAACAATGCTGCTGTGTCTAGGCGAGGGAAAGAATTCATCATTTTAGGCTATTATTTTACTACTATTGGTGTTTTCATTTGTCTCATTAGTGTGCATCATACTRCCCTCCCCTATCCATTCTATTCCAGCCCAACCAGGGTATCGTTTTCAGCGATTTTACTCTAGAACAGGGCATCGTTTTAAGCGATTTTACTCTAGAACAGGGTATCATTTTCAGCGATTTTACTCTAGAACAGGGTATC